TTTTTTAATTTCATCAATAAATCTCTATTTAAAGAATGGGCTAGATACCTTTATTTCCAAAGATTATCTAGGTAGCATTTTGCTCCTTCAATCATAGCCTAAAACCAAGTATTTGCAACCACAAAATCTCTTGAACAGCAGGATTCCAGGCTATCCGCAGGTATGGGACAATGGACAATTAAGCTCTCCTAATACCTGGCTCAGTCCTCATTTGCATAAATGCCCTTCCTGACACTTTGGAGATCAAAATTCAGGTTCTCCTAGCCTTTCTAGCTCTCCGGATCAATCAGGAAGGACCTAAAACTGGTTAGGAAACTCCCTCTCAGACCAATCAGGAAGGATACAGAACTGGTTAGGAAACTCACTTCTCAGAGAACTGGGAACAGAAAACAAGTTTTCAATTATCTTCATGAAATTATTTCTTCACATACTCCTACTGCCTGGAAGGTGGTGGCAGTGAATGTTTGCTAATGAATTATTAACCACTGTTGATAAAGAAAAACCTATTTTTACCCCTGAGATATTTTACCATTCTTTGTTTTAGAAGCAAACAGTGGGCACATTAAAAAAAAAGCAGGGGGGGCGGCTGGGTGGCTCAGTCGTTAAGCGTCTGCCTTCAGCTCGGGTCATGATCCCAGGGTCCTGGGATGGAGCCCCGCATCGGGCTCCCCGCTCCACGGGAAGCCTGCTTCTCCCTCACCCACTCCCCCTGCTTGTGTTCCCTCTCTCGCTGTGTCTCTGTCAAATAAATAAAATCTTTAAAAAAAAAAATGCACCATGTTTTTGTGTTTGTTTTTAACATTCCCAGTAACATCCCATGGTTAAGAGACAGAACAGTTCAAGGGTGAAAACAGAGACAGACAGATTAGGCATATTTAATATTTTTACTAGAGTTCTGAAAGAAATACGCTACCCTGATTTATCACCAAATTCCTCATTTTGACTCTTCTACACAATCTGTGATCATCTTGCAATGGTGATATAAGGCAACAGCTGAGGGCCCTTACCCACACCGCTCTCAGATGGATGTCAGACCTCAAGAGTCACCAAAAACTCCAAGGTTTTTATTTTCACTTTAATTATCTTTTACTTAATAATAAAATGAAAAATAAGAATATATGAATACATACAATCTATATACATATATTTATTGCAAATACTTAAAATTCTTATGTAAAATGATTTTTCTATATTTGTGAAAAAATATGACTTTTTAAATGGTGTTGACACCAACTTCTCTGTACATACCCTCAATTCCAATGTTAACAATTCCTTTAAAAAGGCAAAAGACACAAAAGTTTAGCATTTACCAAACCAGTCTGTACAAACCTTATAAGCCAGAAGGAAAAAAAATAGCTCGTGGTAAATAAGTCAATTTTCTTTTAAAATAAAAAATAAACTCCAAAACTATTCTCCTTATTGCATTTTTCGGAAATAATCTGAGTGTCTTTAGAGTAACTTCCTTTGTAATAATTTGTGCCTTAACAGTGAGGTCCTACATTAAACATACCATATATGAGAAATTCAAAGTCTTCCACTGTCACTTTTTACATAGATATTAAAATATATATTACTTAAAATATATTACTGGAAAGCTATTTTTTTAAAATTGATCTTTAATAGTTGTATCAAATGTAAAGCATTAAAAAAAATAAAGTAACCAAGAATCTATGAAGCTCTTACTTCAACTTTAGGAAATGTTTTACCTATTGTTCCCTTTCAATAGGTACATAGGTATTGAAACATGGTAGGAAAAGATCCCTGCCTATCATCATGTTTCTCAGTCTCTTTGGACTATACTATAAATTGAGCTGAAAACTACCGTTGGCCAAGGTTTTTACTTAGCACATTGTTGTAATGCAACGGGGACTTTTCCCTCCTTGCTGTGAAGTGAAACCTCTAGGTCACATTGAAAACCCTGGCACTGCTCACTGACAGTGAGTTCTAGAAATAAATAGTGGTGTAATGACCAGAGAAGAACCCCTCATTATAACAAATAATTTTACCCAAGAGTTCTTTAAGGGCTCTAAGGTGGAGAAAGGCAATAATAAGCAATTAGGATGGTAACTGTCAAGTCATCAATATGTATGAATTTATACCTTCACCGGGAAGGCAAGGAGGTGCTCCTTTGGCTATTTAAAACTGAGATAATTCCTAAAACACCTACATCTGGGTGCCTTCCCAGCCCACGCAAGTATGCTTCCCCTTCTTCAAGAAAAATGTCCCATTTGCCAGATCTTATTCTTAGAAATGTTACATGGGATACCACAGATAGTTTCAGTATCTTGAGCACAGGGGTTAAGGAATAGTAGGGTGAACAACCCCAGGTTGTTTAACAGGGTGGAGAATTTTTATCGAATGTTTTTTTAAGATTCAGGGAGCCTTCTCTACTAGACAACTCAGAACAGTCATTAAGACTGAGATGACATATTTATTGTTAATGCTATCTCCCCAATGCGACCTACAATGGAAGGTTTCTGAAGGCTCGAGAAGCATACCCTGGAGGCATAAGCATCAGGCATAATGCCTGACTAGTCACTGGAAATAGTGCAACTAAATACCATTTAAAAAAAAACAAAAAACAAAAAGAACTTAGCATTGATTAGTAACCTTTCAGATTGAACTGAGAGGTAAAGCAACTCCGAAAACCTAAAATAAAAACTGCTTTAAAGGTATTGGAGTACCATGCTCTTGATAATATAAAGATTTTTCTTGTTCCTACTGCTTCATTTCCAAAAGGGCCAAATTGTATTGTAATGTGTTTGGACTGTTGCTGTTGTTTTTCTGTTCAGCTCTTAAAATGAATGACATTCTACCTGAAACCACTGTGTTGAAACAAACTGACAGATTGTATTCAATTTACTACCAAGCCAAGAGAACCTATTCTCTCATTTTGTCAAGACTGAGGCAGTGTACCTAGTTGACATATCCTGTTTTAGGGACATTCATAAATGCAAATGTTTTATTAGCTGAGTATTATTTGTTAAGAGAATCTGGGGAATAATAATGCTTAGGACCTATCTGCAAGAGCCTTGGTCAAGAAGAAGAGGCACAATACGGTTTGCTCTCCAAATGGACTTGAAAATCCCTGATCCCTTTCCCCCTCTCCTGGTTAGTCTGTGCAAACTCAGATTACGGGAACCGTGGAGGAGAGACTTTCTACGACAGGAAAGGTGCAAAGAAGAAAGTTCACTTTGATCAATCCAAATTGGTAATTCATGTTTAGCATGGGGTCAGTTCAGAAATACTCAGGCACTTCCAGCACACAGACCAGCCCTCCTCAGTCCTGGCACTGAACATGGGGAGTGAAGAAGCTGAGCATGGAGAGTTTTAACCAGCAATAGGTCCTTTTAGCCCCTGCCCTTGGATTACCCAGAGTAGTGAAAAGTTCAGGGAACTGAACCATTTTTCTTACTGGATCTTGGCTGGAGAACTTCCTCCTTACCCCTGGATCCTTGTGTGTGTGCTGGAAGAAAAAGGGAAATTAGGCGGACATCCTACTGTCTCAGCTGAAACTAGAACACAGACATTAATCCTGTATTCGCCTTGAGCCACAAGAAATAACAGAAGCAAAAACTGAAAGACAGTGAAGTAGTAAGTTTCTGATGGGGTTCAAAAGTATTAAAAGCATGTATAATGCGGGGGGAAGAATGGGTAACAGAATGGGGAAGAGCAAAGAGTATTACTTTCTACTTCCTCCTAATCTGGAATGTGACTTAGTAAGTTTACACTGTTCTGTGTATGGTAAGTATCACATCCTGAATACTAAGTACAGCTACAAGTGTACTAGGTTTGCAGTAGTATTTTTACTTCACACGCCTGAAATTAGGAAAACTTAAAATCAATATGCATGATGCACATTGACAATACCCGGTTCCTTAATACCAAGTTCTGATAAATTGTAGATTTATTTTAATGTTCTTTAACCATGACCTAAATATATGTACTCAAAAACTCTTCAGTCACTAGTGACAAGATTTAAAAAACAACAACAAAGGAAATAAAAAAGAATCAACAAAACAAGCAACAAAACTTTGGAGCTAATTTCTCTTCCTTTCTAGATGTTCCCTTAGCCATTTACTGAAGCCCCTTTACATTAGAAATTTCTAGTGCATAGACAGCAGTAATCCAAAACAGAGGACATATTTTCTAAAACAGGAGAAGTGTCTAACTTTTACTGTGTCTGTGTGCACATGTTGTGTTCAAAGTAATATCTAATAAGATTACGCCATACTCCTCAGATGCCTGGGAGGTCAAAACAGGCTAAACAGAACGGGCAAATGTGGCAACAAGGAGCTTTCCCTCCTGCACCACAGCGCACTACAGAACATTAGGTAACAGGGTTGGGCAAGAAGAGGAAAAGAGAGGCTAAGGCTACCTTGTTTCTAGGGTTAAAATCGTTTTCCAAAGTTCTTTATGTTCAGTTTAATAGTTTCTGCACTTTTTTTACTCCCTTGCCCAACAAAACACATAGTTCAAATCACCCCCATCACTAACATTTTTTGTTACTGCTCTACTAGCATCTCACACCTGTTTGCAAGCTCCCATGACTGACGAAGTACCCGGACGTTACCGCTGGAACTGCTGCCCGGCACAGGCTCAGCTAACAGCAGGGGCCTGGGGTGGCACACCCTTCGTGGGCCACATTCACGGTCTCAGGGCAAGGTAGGGGGCCTTGAGGGCAGGGGGCCACAAAGCGCAAGCAGAGAGCTTGGCAACAGTACTGGTCTGTGGAAGCCAAGAACCAGGTCAAGAGCTTTCAGAGTCTGAATTACTACCTATGAAATTAATACGGTATCAAAAATTTGAATTTAAGAAGGTTCTGTCTAAGGTAAAGGGACTGAGTAAACCCTGAATCCAAATCCCGCCAAGGCTGAATAATCTAAGTAAAGCCTGCAGTCAGACCATCATGACATAATCAGCTTGAATGGTCATTTCTCCAGACCATTCCTTCATTCCTTCCTTTTCCTGGCCTCTTAAAAAAGGAGAGAAGAAAGACAGCTTCCTTTAACCATGCATGGCATTAAACTTTTCTCAGTCACGTGAAGTGGAACATAAATCTGAATTCAAACACATCATTACCTAAACACTTGGGAAAACAATGTTAAAACAAAATGTGACATATTTACATGATTTTGTAAGTGCAAACTTGTCACAAATTCACAAAGTCTTGCTTGACCTAGACTTACTATACAAGGTGCTCTTCCTCTAAAATATAAGATCTGTACTCTGTATTCCTGATTAAGTAACGTCTGTCTCTTAAGACAACTGAAACCTACTTAATTTATTTCTGTGATTCCGAAAGGACGCAAAAAACACATCTCATCAACCCTTCCCTCCCTGCTTCCTTTACAGCGTGTTCTCTTTCTAGTCTCGTTACCGAACGACAAGGCAGGAGACACACAGTTTCGAGGGGCCAATGCAATCATCGTGGCAGAATGCTCCACACCCCTTGCACATGATCATGGCTTTCAATCGGCAGTAACATTTCGAAGGTGTGTCCTCTATGCTGTTTTCTTCAGGAAAGGCCTGAACAGGAATGGTCTGGCCATGGCTGCTGGGATTCATCGCTTGGCTAGCAGGGATAGTAGTGACAGTCACCGAAAAGGACATGACATCACCTACATTGCTAGCCACCTGGCTACAGTCAGGCATCCCCGGGACAGCAGAGTTACGGTCCATGTCGGACGAGGTGGAGACATTGATCATGCCTCTATAGCTTGGCCCGATCTGGGTGGGGCTTCCATACAGCTTCGGGGTTTGCAGTGGTGGAAGGAGGAGAGGCTGATGGGTGGGACTGTCTGCAGTCAGAGGAAGAGCAGTAGAATTGAAAAGCTCAGGGCTGCTACGCATTGTCTTGCCTCTCACTGCATGAGCCATTTGTTTCTGTGCTGCCTGAATAAAATCTCTGGCTAGGGTCTTTTCATCAAATGTTTGGCCTCTCGTGAACAGGTAATTCTCCTTGCTTAAAGTGGTTTGCTCATGCACTGGTATCTCCGCCTTCACATTCTTTTTTGCTGAACAATCATTGGTGGCTAGGGCTTCTCTACTGTGGGGTCCCGAACTTGCTTCACACTTGCCAGGGCCCTGGGCAGCCTGGGGCTCCTCCTTCACCATGATGGATTCTTGCTCATCACTGGAACTTTCCTCATCGGTATCTTCTTCTTTGCCACTGCTACTATCTCCTGTTGCATTTTTACAGTCTGTGTATCCCATTTTCAAGGCCTCCGTGGGGCTACTTAGACACAAACGGTCTTCAGGGTTTATAGAATGGGTCCTCCTAAAGCTCTCTGAACCCCGGCCATAGGTGGAAATGTTAAGTAAGTAGTGACCTGCCATTGCAGGCTTCGATGTCCTTCTGCCAGCAAAACCCAGCATGAACCTCTGGCTTGTGGAGATGTCTTCCAACTGGAAACCTGAGTGCGTGAAGTTGAACTGGGAGGGCTGCACAAATGGGAGAACGTTCTGCCTCCGAACCCTTTGGATGAGAGTCTGAAGGATCTGCTCTTGGGTGGCTTTGCTTAGTCCTTCCTGGTACTGGTGTGTGTCAATGCTAGAGTCCCTCAGTTCCTTACCCGAAAAGAGCTGAAGGGGTCTTGGAACCTGGGGGAGCTGCTTACTTTGCAAGGCTCTCCCCAGCTGCTGCAGAGCTGGGTGGGGCTGCCTCGCACCACCTTCCTCTCTGACGCCGTTTTCTGCAGCGCCAGTGCCTGTGAGCGCTCCTGTCCCCAGCTCCTCTTTCGTGGTCAGTGGAACAGTTTTCATTTCAACTTTGGTGAGAGGTTTAGGCAGAATTTGCTCCATGGGAACATCTTTGCCCTGAAGCAGCTGAGTGACCAAAGGGTTATTCGCAGGGATACTAGAGCTCGGCCTTGGCATGGGTCCATTCAAATTTGAAGAAGTTCCTGGAGTTTTAAGGCTAGAAGCTACTGGCAAAGTGCTCGAGGACGGAGCTGATCCCGGAGGCCCTACACTTACACTGACCTGGGGTACAGGAAGCTTTTCTAAAGCGGCGGCGGTCAACAACGATGTTAAAGGAGAGGGAGTCACAGCCGCTGAAGTACTAGCGGTTGTCTCCGCTGAGGCCGAAGGGTCTGGCATATTCCTACCAGAACCTGCTCTGGGCTCGACTGTGCCATCGGCTGCAAAACGAACAGGTGGGGAGGCACCTGAGATGAGAGAGGAACCCGCCGGAATAGAAGGCGCCTTCTCCAGTCTGCAGGTCCCGGGGCCTTGTGGGTGGGGGAGAGAGGCCACTGCGGCTGCTGCCCTAGGGGGGTGCGGGGGTTCGTTAGCCGGCTTCCCTACAGCTGGTGGGGGCGCGTCAGTGTGGGCTGGTGAGGGGGCCCTTGCACCGGCTCCACCGCTGGCAGAGGTTGGAGGCACCGAGGGGGTTTGCTGTAATTGTGCTCCAGAGACACCATGAGGCTGTGCCTGGTCTGGGCTCTCGGTCTCAGACTGGGGCTGAGTCTCTGGCCCACAGGGTAAAAGCTCTCTCGTACCTCCCCCGCTTCCAGTTCCTGCCAACTCCAGGGTGGGGGCCTCTCCAGGTTCGCGGCCTCTGTCTGAGCCTGGCCTCCCTCCTCCAGCGGTTTTGCTGTCACCGCCCTCTCCTGGGCCTTGTCCGCCCCCGGGGCCAGGTCCTGGAACGGTCCCTCCAACTGAGGCCGCGGCGGCGGCGGCGGCGGCAGCTGCAGCGGCGGCCGCCCTCTGTGCTTTGACCAGCTGGGCTTTTGCTTTGATGTCTGCAAGAGTTCTGGCTCCTGTTCTGTTAGGACTAGTGATGGAGACTGGAAAACGAGCCCTGGGAGAGACCTGCGATGTAGGAAAAGGCATGGGGGAGATTCTGGAGACCGGGATCTGAAAGAAGGAGGGAGGAAAAAAACCCAGAGCTTAGTTTTCATTGACAAGATAAACAGAACTTCCTGAACACTTGAATTGTTGCGGTAACCGCTACACCCCAGTCACAGAGATGGGGTGGGTCACGGCCGAGAGACCAAAGCGTGGAGACAGCAACGTGACTGTGTCTCTAGGGTCCTTCCACCTCCGCTACTGGTGCCAAAGCCTCTCCTCCCCCAGTATCCTCTCTGCCCCAAATTCCCTTCTCAACACAACTCCCTCCTAATGGCATTACTACTCACGACTGCTTATTACTTAAGCTACAGACCTTGCGGGGTATTTGCACTTTCGAATGTGTGTGTGAGAGAAGAGGCATACCACTGTCTTTTTCTTCTTAGCTCTCCTTCCAAGCTCCGAGGAGAATTCTTGCTCTCTTCTGCTCTACGCACACATGCACGCGTAAGCACTCAGGCTGAATTATCTCAATGACAGAGGCGTCTAGATAGCACTGGAAGGTAGACAGTGTGTGATCCACAGATGCGTCCCACTCCGTCCATCCACACGAGGGAGTATGTACATAATGTATACAGTGTTCACCACACTCATTTTCATCCCTGGCTGGCTTTATCCTTACTTGGGGAGCTGGTTAAAAATATATGTGCTCTGGGGGCGCCTGGGTGGCTCAGCTGGTTAAGCGACTGCCTTAAGCTGAGGTCATGATCCTGGAGTCCTGGGATCGAGTCCCACATCGGGCTCCTGGCTCGGCGGGGAGCCTGCTTCTCCCTCTGACCCTCTCCCCTCTCATGCTGTTTCTCTCTCTCTCAAATAAATAAAATCTTAAAAAAAAAAATTTTAAAAAAATATATGTGCTCCGGGTCCTATCCCCAAATTGACAAATTAGAACTCTAGAGAAAATATGCTTTTCTGAAACACTTCCTGGGAAACTCTGATACATCACCAAGTTTGAAACCACTGATTTTCATACCATAAAATACTGTATCTGAAAGGAATCAGACTCCTATTTGAAACAATACTTTGGAAGCTATCAGAGTTCAATTAGAATGCATCAAAGTCTGGACCCTTCTAGTAGTGGCCAGAACTTAAAGGAGAAGTAACGGTTACAGATTTTCTAGGGCATTTCATTAAAAAAAAAGAAAAATTAAGCCACCGGGCTCTAAGAAAATGCACGTTATCTTTCCGGAACTCCTTAAAATTAAGAATAGTAAAGTCACTAAAAATTTTTCATTATTTGCAATATCCATTTCTCAAAAGGTCAGTAGTCCTGAGAAACAGATTCTCTGTCATTCAGAAGTCAGAGCTGTGGGATTGTCACAGGCGTCACACAGTCCACACGTCTCACGTCAGAAGATGTACCTAATCTCTCTCTTCAACACTGAGTCTCTTTTACATCTAACTGCACAGTATTTTAGAAGCTACCAATAGAGGGAAAGAAACAATTGTTGCCCCTTGGTAATATCACCTAGAAGAGACCACTAGGACGGGGAGAAAATAGGTAAAACCAGAAAATTAAATCCAAGAAAGTAAAAGCACAGTTGTTTAGGGGAATTGTATATAGGGACAAACAACCTTACATCAGAATAATCTTGAGAATAATAACATACCTAGCAGAATAAATAATATCTATTGTAATGACTGAAAATCATTACTAACATGTTGATAAATTCATTAAAAGTGGTTCTAATAAAAGTCTTAATACGTAAAAATAATAAGTTTCAGTTACTTATGTAAATAGCTCTATTTCCTGCTTACGTGGAATAAATGAGATGTTACAGTCTGTAAGCACGAAGGGCTCAGTGTTGTCCGGGCACTGGTAACAACTTAACACCAAGAAGCGCTATCCGCTATCCTCGTAGAGCAAGGTAAATTCTTTTCATGTATACTGAACAGATGGGGCGCCTGGGTGGCTCAGGCAGTTAAGCATCTGCCTTCAGCTTGGGTCGTGATCTCCAGGTCCTGGTATGGAGCCCCGCGTCGGGCTCCCTGCTCAGCAGGGAGTCTGCTTCTCCCTCTCCCCCACCACCATCCCCAGCCCTGCTCCTGTTCCCACTTGTGCTCTCTCTCACTCTCAAATAACAAAATCTTTAATAAATAAATAAATAAATAAATGTATACCGAATAGGAAATACAGTTTTCCATCCCCCCCGTACATATTGTTACAGATACCCATGTTGTAACGTGTGCACACATATGCATGTATATAACTTACATATACACACATGTATAACATTTGTAATAAAATTAAAATTTTATTTTTCTACTTAAGTTTTAGTTAAAAGATTTTGCTCTGTTATAAATTACATTAAGTTTTGTCTAAGAAAGTGGGATTTGAGATACGGCCTAAGGTAAGAGCTATTAAAGCAACTTCTGGTAGAAAATATTCTGTGGGGGAGTGGAGGGGGATGAGGAAGGAGAAGCAAAAGGGAAAAAATTAAATAACAATAACACAGTCACGGTAGACTTAAGTTTTCAGTGTGGAGCCTCTCTGGATTAGAGAAAGCAGACCAAGTGGCATATAATTCAGCCTCTATACAGATGAGGAAACAGAAATGACGAATCTTACCCAGTATCATTTATATAAAGTAAAACCTAAAATGTAACTCGGCTCTCGGGTCTGCATAGAAGTTCTGACTGACATTCATTAGAGAAAGGTTTCTAATATTTTTATAAAAGTGGGGAAAAAAAGAATGGTAAAGTGATTTTCATAAAAAATCACAATCTCTGGCAAAGCATGCAAGATATGTTAATGGTAGAAAAGTGGCAAACATTTTTTAAAAAGGGAGATTCCTAGGTGCACAAATCTTAAAATTAAAAAGTAATGAGAATGTCATACAATTAGTAAGAGATGCAAAATGAGAGAAATACATAATAAATGAAATGGGTCAAGTACTAGCAACTGAATGTTTCTAAGGGATATTTCCTGATGGAACTAACTTTGGTTCATCTAAGATAAATAAAAAAGGGGGAAAAAGTATTTCTATGTGACTTTTTTTCTATTTATATCCTAACGTGAATGAGTAATACCCAGTGCCTGCGCGCATAGTAGACACAATAGCATTAATGAATACCATTAGTAAAAATTTATTAACATATACTATTTATTAAGTGAATAAATGAACTGCAAACTGCTATTAAGCACAAGCCCAAGTATTAGTAAACCTTTAGATCAGAAGTAAAAATGTGTTTGGGTTTTAAAGGGCTCACTACTGGTTAGATGCAGTCTTTATATACTAAGATAAGGATACTGCTTTATGAATGTGAAAGATCTGATAAGCAGCAACAGAATGCTAACATGGAAGTCAGTGACACAGCCTGAGCAGTAGAGCTTAACAAGGCTATCCCACCTTACTAATGTCCCTCAAGTAACCAGCAGTGACCCATGGCAACCACAGAGGTTTCCTTTAAAAAGATGGAACTAAAGGTAGTTCTAGAACCACAGAACATCAAATCAGTTATGGCAGTAAGAAAAGGGCCAGGGTACACTTAAATATCATGGCTCTTGCCACAAAAAAGCCAATGGCTTCCTTCTGTTTATTATATTTCTTATGTTGTCACATGAGACAGAATAATTTCCACAACTATCTTAAGATGTAAGAGTAGCCAGCAGGGAGGGTGGGTGGAGGTGGTCTAATTAATTAGATATCCATTACTTACTCAAACACTAATAAAGATCTGTAGGAATGCAGTTCTAAATGCCTGTTTATTAATAATTTTGCTCATGTAAGAACACAGTTACAGGCTTATCACATACATACAACTGCTTCTGTGTTAAGAAATACCACAAATGACTTGAAATTTAATAAGTAAGACCAGAAACTTAGTGTTCATACATCCTCTCTTTTTCAATTCTTCCCACTCTCTTACCTTGAGAGGTGGTACTTTTCGCACCTGGATCCTGTCCCCTCTACTGAGAAAGGGCTGTGGCGAGACTTGAAATGGCTGCTGGTACTGGCGATTCTCCGTGACACGTGGCCTTTTCTCCCAGCTCACGGGGGCCTCTTCTTGGATGAGACAAGATTTCCTCTTGAGGCTTTCTGGGCTGTGATCAACCGGAGCTGATGGAGGTTCTTTCGCAGTGATATCCTGGGGACCTGCTTCTGCTATGGGCTTTATTACTGGTTTTTCCACCCCAGGACTCTTGGGTTTGTTTGGGGATGTAACTAAAGCTTCTTGGCCTTCATCTTTGTTATAATTAGAAACAGTAGTGAGATGATTCTCCTTCTCAGACTCCTGTTCAGCAGAGGCAACTGGCTTCTGCTCCAAGAGATCATCATCCTTTGGGCACTTGATGGGAAGAAGGCTGCTAAGCTCTTGTGTATTGCTTGCTGAGGGAAGTAGGGGCTCTGTGGATTTGGGGTTTGGCTGCACCATATCTTGGCTTTCATGCTCTTCTTTTCTTCCTGGGGATGGCATTTGCACCACTTCTTCTTTAGACCCTAACTGGGAAATTACTGGGACTATACTGACAGGTGAGGCCTCTGAAGGTAGCATGGATTTTGGTTGCTCAGCTGGGGTTTTCTTTACTTTGAGATCGCTGGGCGAGGCTGTCAATTTCTTTGAATCCTCAAGGCTCAGACCAGAACTAAAAGGTGGAAGAAAAAAATATTCTAGTTGAAAAATGGCCTATGTTATTGAAAGCGTTAGGAGATAATAGTATATGGCAATGCCTAGAAGAAACCCCGACATATAGTAGGTATTCCTCATATATCATCACTATTATTATTACTATTATTATTAGTAGTAGTGAAGTTCTGGAGTTCGAGTGCCTGGATGCAAATCCTGGCTCTGATACATCCATGTGACATTAAGTAAGTCACTAGTTTTTGTATCTCAGTTCTTCATTATATACTGAGGTTCATCACTTTATATTGTTGGTGTGATTAAATTATGCATATAAAGTCTTGGAACAGTACTTAGCACATATTAAAGCTCAATAATGTTAATTATCATTATTACTTATGTTTATTAAGAAGGGCTACCTTGTCTAGAGGCAAACATCACAGACTACCCCCACAAGGGAAGTGAAAGAAGGCCAAGACCCATGCACCCTGATCAACTCTGCTCTGTAGCACCTGCAGAAAGGAGGGCCCAAGAAATCTACGGGCCCCTGAGGAGATAGTAGGAGGTGGCTGTCAACGTTCTTCAGAAAATTAGAACTCTGGAGTTTCTGGAAAGCCCGTTTACACTTCACTTAGTATAGCTCCATAATTCTGAGATCAATGTCCCTGAGCTATCCTGAGAGTGAAGGTCAACGGGGACTTCCACAGTGTGGCCTTGCTAGAACTAGGCTACTCAGCGGGGGTCACTAGAGACTCTTCATAATGTTTTAGAACATTGTTTAAACAGGCAAAAGCAAGGGACCCTCTTTGGTGACTTCAAATGATCCGTACTGCACCTCTGAAATGGAGTGGCTAACAACAAAACTAGACAATAATAAAAAACAGTCTTCCTGTAAAAACTGGCAAAAAAAAGTAACAGCTGAAAACAGAAAGACCCAAAAATTCCTACAATGCCTATGGAGGAAATTAACAATACTTACGGAGTGACAGTTACCTGTGGTAACAGTCTAAATGGATACACCATCATTTATGCAGAAGGGCTCAAAGCTCATACCAAGAGTGTAGATCAATATGTGAGACTTTTTTTTTTTTTTTTAAAGACCAACATGGCTCAAACACACAATCCCAAGATCAAGAGTTACACACTCTACCAATTGAGCCGGCCAGGCGTACCCATACATGAGACTCTTATTAATCACAATAGGAATCCCTTCCTACGTGACCATAAAGGGGATCAATGAACTACTGGGAAATAAGAAAAAGAGCCATTAGTTGTCAAACTGTGGTTACAGAGTGTCCTTAAGGATTGCCATTAGGTACGCAGAAGGCAAGAAGGGAGACAAACCAATAAATCTCTGGATGTTCAATTCTACTTCAAACAATACAGCTCCACTGTCATCTATTTAAATGTCCCCATTAAGTTCTTTTCAGATATTTTATTAAAAAAAAAAAAGACTTAACGTACATTCCCTTGAGAACAGGGTTTGTACCTTCATTCAGCTATGAAGACCTGCCAGAGGGCCTTCTAGAGGAGAGGCTGTTTAATGATGCCCTGGGTGTAATGGTCCATATTATGGGATTCCTAGGATTCCTTGGTGATTCTGGATAAATTACCATCTTGTGGGATAATTAACTACTAGAAAAAATGTACTGAACTTCAGTATTCTTATAACTTATAAAATTATTGATAAGAACTATTCAGTCTATTCAAAGAAAGGGATTCCAATTCAAGATAATAGTTGTTTTTTTTTTTTTTAATGAAACCAACCCACCCACAATGGTAATGTGTCAAAAGTCAAGGAACCCAATTCTGTGCATGCATGATTCATAAAAAGAAAAAAAATTCTTAGTTAAAAAGAACTGGTGAAATAATAGAAGGAAACTGAGGACTAGAATTTCTGGAAAGGTAGTTAATATGAAACACGCTGTGAGATATATGTAGGAATTCACATTTGGTTTACAGAACCTGTCTTGGTATTACCTCTGACCATAGTAGCTTTCAAAGAATTGTTCTTTCCATGGCTCTACTTTTTTCTCCTTCTCAATCTCTTGTCGAATTCTCACTTGCATCTCAGGTGTAAACTCACCTATGATGTAAAAAAAAAAAAAAGATACTCAATAGAAATATGCTGTTTCTAACCTTTAACTATTTGTAAATCACGAAAGACTCATGCAGGAGTCAGAATACTATCATGTGAAAGTAAGAGAAACTTCCCACAATCCCTCACTGGAAAGGAGCCCCTGGAAGCCATCAGGGGACATACAATGCTTGCACAGCCCTGCATGCAGTTTCCGGGACTCAGCTGAGGCCACCTGTGCCTTCTCTCTGGGCTCTCCTGTAGCACCTCCCTCCTGCTCCAAACATCATATTCCCCACGGATTTCTTTTATCACTAACCTTGAATTTGTCATTTCTTTCCCACTGCAAAAAGAGTCACATGGTTTCAGTAAAGAATGCCACTGGGCACTTTGTTATTTTAGAGTTCTGTTTCTCTCAGGCAACTTGTTATTTTGTGCCTTTTATCTCTAACTGCATAATGAACAGCTGTGACCTGCGATCCTGCTTATGGGCAGTTAAGGTTCCAGTAAAACCACAGGGAGTTATTTGGGGGTCATCAGTTTTCTAATTGCTCCAGAAATTGCACTAGTGCCTTGGCAAGAAAGCGCTCAACACGCCAATGACCCCACTGCTCTGAAAAGGACATTTATTTGCATATATCACCAAGCACTTCAATCCCTCCCACTCCAACAGCAGAGAAGGGCTGAATGTGCTGCGTAGGCCACCTTCAGACTGCGGCTCAGAAAGGTTGCTCTCTTTTATACTCTAATACCCAGGACATCAAGGAAAAAGAGGCAGAGGTGGTGGACTTCAAGTTTAGGTCTCGTTGGGATACGAGGATCGGAAGGACAAGCATCCCGCGGCACAGTCCTGGGCACAGGAGCAGGAAAAGAGGGCTGCACCTGTCAGAATCCAACCCGTGGCTACGTTTTCATCGAGCCTACTGTGCATGAGAGAATGAGGAATAAAAAGGACTGAATTCTGTTCACATGTGTACAGTGCTCAGTTTTTGCTGCTCATAAAATATGACCACATGACTAGGCATAGCCGTGACTGCTTATATGCAAATAAGAAAAAAAAAAAGAAAAAAGAAAGAAAAGTAACACTGGTAACAATCAAGGTATCACTGATGACAATACCTACTTTAAAAAACTGGGTGGTGGGGGAGCCAGGGGGGCGAGCGCCCGGGTGGCTCAGTCGTAACAGTCCTGCTTCTGGCTCTGCACTGGGCGTGAGCCTGCTTCAGATCCTCTCTCTCCCTCTGCCCCCTCCCCCTTGCCACAGTTTGCTCTCTCTTCCTCTCAAAAACAAAAAAATGGGGAGTTGGGCGGGGCATAAATCCTTTATCAAATTTACTCTTTTTTTTTTTTAAAGATTTTATTTATTTATTTGACACACAGAGAGAGAGAGAGAGAGAGAGAGCACAAGCGGGGGAGGGACAGGCAGGCAGAGGGAGAGGGAGAAGCAGGCTCTCCGATGAGTAAGGAGCCTGATGCGGGGCTCGATCCCAGGACCCTGGGATCATGACCTGAGCTGAAGGCAGCCGCTTAACCGACTGAGCCACCCAGGCGCCCCTTATCAAATTATTCTTAAAGAAAGATAATAGTAATGCATATGTTTTAAAGTGCTTGTGTGATTGCAGCTCTTTCTGAAAAAAAAAAGTGGTCTCTGCTCAAGGAAATCTTTGATGGGACCAGAGTAATTAGTGAGAGAGCCTTTCTACACAGAATTTGTCTCCCCAAAACAATAAAAAAAGCTCAAAACAATAAGAAGGCAAATGTCAACAATTGCGGTGAACAATATAGATATTAATTAGCTGGTCAATTAACTCTAAATGCTAATGATCTGACAAAATGTCAGCAATGAATAGCATTCCTAATTGCTCTCCCTACAAATGTATTCATTAAAAAAAAACACAAATGTATTCATTTTAAAGCTTTTCACAGTTGTTTTAAGCTATGCCTTGGTATAACTTCATATGACCTTTCAAGTGTTAGTTTGTATTACATGTGTACTGAAAAACAAACATAAGAGAACACTAATTCTATACTCTGCTTATTAAAATTTCAATTCCTAGACATTAACCTAGAATCACTGAATCAAAATCTTGATCAGAATCTGATCACTGATAAAAATACTGAGGAAGAGGGCCTAAAATCTGTATTTGTTTAGTTTCCCTAAATTGAAAGGTGTCTTTGATTTCTTTTTTTTTAAAGATTTTATTTATTTATTTGAGAGAGAGAATGAGAGAGAGCATGAGAGAGGGGAGGGTCAGAGGGAGAAGCAGACTCACTGCTGAGCAGGGAGCCCGATGTGGGTGGGACTCGATCCCGGGACTCCAGGATCATGACCTGAGCCGAAGGCAGTCGCTCAACCAACTGAGCCACCCAGGCGCCCTGTCTTTGATTTCTTAAAGGAACATTGCTAGACTCCATCTGGAACCAGACCTGGTTACACAGGCTCCAGAAAAAAGTCAGTATAGTGTTTCACACAGGATAGCTAGTTCTACCCTATGGAAACATCTCGTCCTTAGCTCAAAAACTCACTGAGGCATAGAGGTGCCAATGTGCCCTCAAAGTAGCTCCAAGTACATATACAATCTAGGAGGCACATAAGGTTGAACACTTACCTTCTGAGAGTCTTTCCTTCCAGCCTTGGGCTGCTGAAGTGAAGAACTCATTGTTAAGGGCTGAGCCATTTAACTTCATCAGACCATCGGGACCAACCTGGGTCAAAGAATAAGCCAAGAGAAGCTTACAAAGAAAGCCAAATGTATCATGTGTAACTGAACTTTCTTTCATTTTAGAGAAGAATGTATATACATTTAATTTTATAGAAACATGACTATATCATACCATGCTGCTTATTATGGATACTTCTATTTTATATCATTTTTTCTAATAAATTTATTTCCTGTTTACCACTCCTCCTTCTTCTACTTTCAATTCCATTCCCCATTAATTATACTCAAAGAATCATCCACAAACAAATAAATCTACATGTAAGAACTTTTTCCTGAGAGGTTTATTATTTGTTTTATAAAACTGTGACCAAGCTCCAGACCAAGCTCTGAATCTTATTTTTCTCACGTAATACATTGTGTACGTCTCTCCAAGTCAACTGGCATAGTGTTAGCTATTCCTTTATAATAGCTGCATATTATTTCATTGGATGCATGCACCTTAATTCATTTGCCAGTTTCTTAATCATAAACATGAACCTTGTTTCCACTGTTTTCCCATAATCAACCACGCTGCAATATTAGCATTCTGGCAAAGATGAATATACTAGGGCTTTTATTTCTGTGGAATAAGTTCTAAAAGCAAAGAAATATCTGTGTCTGTAAGGTACTGTTATTTTCCAAAAAGACTACAACAATTCATATTTCTATGAAATATATGAGTGTACTCTTTATCCTGTGAACAATATTTGTTAACTAAATTATTTAATTTTTGCCAGTCTAATGGGTTTGAAATGGTAAAAATTTCCTTTATCTTGACTACTGGAGTTTTGTTCACCTTTTTGCATGTTTATTAAATACTTAGATTCATCACCTTGTGAAATTCTTATCATTTTGCACATTTTTCTATAAGGCTGCTTATTTTTATTATCAATTTGTGAGAATCCTTTACATATTATTCATAGTAAAACTGTCACATACACTAAAAAATTTCCCCTAATTTATCTGCCCACTGACTTGATTTGTGATGTCTTGCCAAAAGGTTTTAAGATTCTATTAGAGATTCTGGATTTCCTATCTTGGTTTAGAACCATAAATCTTATTTAAGGACATAAAACACAAGATCTGAAAAAAATTTAGATAGAAAAGCTTAATAAAACTGACATTCTCCCCATAGTTATTATCTACATTCCAGTCAGAACCCCTATGCAGATTTTTCATTAACAAAACGATTTTATATTTTTTTAACAAAATGATTTTAAAGTTCGTAAGGAAAAAATAAGAAAAATCGCCTTTCCAATTATTAAACATATCACACACAAAGCCACTGCAGTCAAAACTATTATTAGTAACATTAGAAGGAATGAAGAAATGAGTGGAAGAATGGAGTGTACGCATAAACACATACTGCATGTAACTGCATAGAATATATAACGAAGATGGTATTTCAAACTGTGAAAAAAAGATGGTTATATTAAATATGTAGTGGTGAAACAACTGGCTATTATTAAGTAGAAAATAAAGTTGAAGCCCAATTTCAGAGCAATACAAAAAATAATTCTAGGTGTATTAAAAACTTAAATGTAACCTTTAAGTCAAAAACAATTTTCTGAAGAAAATTTAAGTAACTATTGGGACATCCTAGGGATTGAGGAACTCTTCTCAACCAACTTCACTTTCTACACCTATCTGGGCCCACGTTATCTCCCCACCCCCAGCTCCAGGGCAGAAATTGGTGAACTTTCTCTGTCAAAGGAGAGACTGCCATTATTTTAGGCTTTGAAGGCCCCGGGGCTCTGCTGCAACCACGTACCACCACCATTGCTGCACGAACAGCTATATACCACATGTAAACTAATGAAGGTGGATATGTGTCGATAAAGATTTATTTACAAAAATAGGCAGTTGGCCGAAACTGGCCCAGGTTTGCTGACTGCCAATTTGCACTCTAGAGAGTTGGCAGAGGGGTAATGGTCTTCCCTATCAGAACAGGTCATCCAACTGAAGCTTGAATAGTCCAGTGATGAGTAAGGTACTCCATCACAAGCCAATCCATTTTAACAGCTACAGCTGTTAAAAAAAAAATGTTATTTTACCTTCACATCTGCTTTCTGGAGAAACAAAAAAGTTTACCTCTTTAATACAACAGACCTTTAAATATATTTAGAGAGGTCCTTTAATCCACTCCCCTCCTGTATTCTTTTCTCTGGTCTCAGTTACTTTTACTTCATGGCTGGGCGATCCATACAATGAAATATGGTGTTCAATGTTTCGTCCTAGTAATAACCAGGATTCTAAAAACACTCTAAATTGCATCTGACAGTGAAGCTGATTCAAGCTCCATACTTCTATACATAAGGACATTATTTCTTACTGTGCATTCTCACCATACTCAAAAAAGGCCAAGTAACGTCCTATTAAGAATTCCCCACACGACTGTACTCCATGGGAAATTGAATAGATAACTTATAAGGTCTCTTTTCATTCTAAAATTTTATGTGGCAATCCTTCTTCTGAGAAAGGATAAGAGCCATTAGTCAAAAAACAGTTCTGGGGTGCCTGGGTGGCTCAGTCGTTAAGCGTCTGCCTTCGGCTCAGGTCATGATCCCAGAGTCCTGGGATCAAGCCCCGCATCGGGCTCCCTGCTCGGCTGGAAGCCTGCTTCTCCCTCTCCCACTCCCCCTGCTTGTGTTCCCTCTCTCGCTGTGTCTCTCTCTGTCAAATAAATAAAATCTTTAAAAAAAAAAAAAAAGACAGTTCTAAGAAACTTGCACTAGAGTTCTAGAAATAGGCTTTCAGTTAGGTCCTGTCTTATTCCCAACCTAATAACCTAAGCCTTTAAAAAAGACGAGAGCAATCCCCAATGAGAAGTTCTTTAAAAACTCTGCAGAAACATCAGCCTCCTAACTTGTTCGAACCAAAAGGTGGACATCCCAAAAATTGTAATTTCCCCAAGAAGTTTTAAGGAGGGAAAAGCAGTAGTTGGGAAGGATCAGCTTTACTTACTTCTTTGCCCTATTGCTGGTAGTGTACCTGACTTACTTGGTCTCACTGGAAATGGAATCTGGCCTGCTTTTTCCTATGTGCTAATTCACATCATTATGCAACTGAAACTAGTATCAATACAGTTTAATAGAAAGATAATTTTCAGAATTAGAAATATTTTGTTTTGCCATAGTCAATTAGCTAGGGATGATGTGTATAACTTACTTACTCTCCTTTAATCTCTTACCACAAATCAGGGTATAAATCTAGTTTTCTTACTGTAAACTAGGGAAAAAAACCTCTCTTTCATCTTGTTTTTATAATGATTAGAAAAAAAGGGGAGGGCCTATCAGATTACTTAGAACACAGTATGTGTTTGGAAATAATAATGAATACAAAACCCCTCAGAATTGAATAAACCTTAGAAAATCATAATGGTCCTATCTTCCTTTTGTAGAGGAGGAAAGAGATGATCAGAAGGGGGAGTGACTTGCTAGTCACTCTTTCCTAGATAAAAGCCTAGGTCTCAGATCTTGACCTTATTCCTGACCAACCTAAATCTCTCCGGTCCCTACCCAGACTGTCCGAAACCTTTGGAATTTCTTCTAGCTATCTTTTTTTTAAGAGTGTAATTTATTGGGTTTTTAAAGTTCTTTATTATGAAAACAATAAATGTTTTTGTTTTTTAAAAATCTAACAGAAGGGGGTGCCTGGGTGGCTCAGTCGTTAAGCGACTGCTGCCTTCGGCTCAGGTCATGATCCCAGGGTCCTGGGATCAAGCCCCACATCGGGCTCCCTGCTCAGCGGGAAGCCTGCTTCTCCCTCTCCCACT